TGTCAACAACAAAATAAACAACCTTATGCAAAACAGGCAAAAAACTTAAATAGTCATTTCTCCAAAGAAAATATACATATGGCCAATAAGCACATGAAAAGACATTCAACATCACTAATCATTAGGGAAATGCAAATAAAAATCACAATGAGACATCACTTCACATGCATTAGGATGGCTATTCTCCAAAAAACACAAAACCCAGAAAATAAGCGTTGGCAAGGATCTGGAGACACTGGAACCCTTGTACATTACTGATAGGAATGTACAGTGGCAAACAGAGTGGTTCCTCAAAATATTAAAAACATAATATATGATCCAGCAATTCCACTACTGGGTATATACCAAAAAGAAAGTGGGGGGGTCTCAGAGATATTTATATATCCATGTTCACAGCCGCATTATTTATAATAGCCAGAAGATGGAAGCAACCCAAGTGTTCACCACAAATGAATGGATAAGCAAAATGCGGTACACATATAAAATGGGGCCAGACGTGGTGGCTCATGCCTGTAATCCCAGCACTTTGGGAGGCCAAGATGGGAGGACTACTTGAGGCCAGGAGTTCAAGACCAGCCTGAGAGACATAGCCAGACCCCATCTCTACAAAAACTAAATTAGCTGGGCATGGTGGCACATTCATACTCCTGGATCACTTTAGCCCAGAAGGCTGAGACTGCAGTGGGACATGATTGTGCCACTGCACTCCCACCTGGGCAACAGCACAACACCCTGCTTCATGCAGACAACAGAATATTATTTGACCTTAAAAAGGAAGAAAGTTCTGACATATGCTACGATGCAGTTGAACTTTGAGGACATCATAATAAGTGAAATAAGCCAATCACAAAAAGACAAATACCATATGATTCCAAGACAGAAAGTAGAACCATGGCTGCAGATGTAGGGAAGAGGGGTGAATGGGGGTCCTCGAGATGAAAGGTGGTAATGGTTGTACAACAATATGAATGTATTTAATGCCAATGAACAGTACACTTTTTTTTTTTTTTTTTTTAGACGGAGTTTCGCTCTTGTTACCCAGGCTGGAGTGCAATGGCGCGATCTCGGCTCACCGCAACCTCCGCCTCCTGGGTTCAAGCAATTCTCCTGCCTCAGCCTCCTGAGTAGCTGGGATTACAGGCATGCGCCACCATGCCCAGCTAATTTTTTGCATTTTTAGTAGAGACGGGGTTTCACCAAATTGACCAGGATGGTCTCGATCTCTTGACCTCGTGATCCACCCGCCTTGGCCTCCCAAAGTGCTGGGATTACAGGCTTGAGCCACCGCGCCCGGCCGAACAGTACACTTCTATAATGGTAAATTTTATGTTGTGTATTTTCCTACAAAAAAAAACAAAAAACACGGTACAAAAAAGCTGTAGATTTTGGCTTATCAAATGGATCAATGTATTTCAATGTTTTCCAATCGCTGAGACAATGTGTTCCCATGTGTTCCCATCACTGCGACAGGGCCAAATATGGAAAAAGCAGCTTTGGTTATGAAAATTAAGTTTTGGGTGTATTAAGCTTGATGGCTAACTAGACAACTAGATGTAGATGTGAAGTAGGCAGTCTATTACCTAAATTTGGAGTTCCAGAGAAAAAGAACAGCCAGCGATGCAGATTTGAATAAAATAACAATACAAACACTTAATTTGGGGGTTATCAATATAGGGATAACATTTAAAACCATAGGACAGAATGAGATTCAGAATTAAAGCATAGGGTGAGAAATCAACAATGAAGAGAAGTGTGCAGTGACATAAAGAAGGTGGTTGTTGTTGTTGTTTTGAGGCAGGGTCTCGTTCTGTTGCTCAGGCAGGAGTGCAGTAGCATAATCACAGTTTACTGCTGCCTTGACCTCCTGAGCCCGAGTGATCCTGCCACCTCAGCTACCTGACTAGCTGGGACCACAGGTGTGCACCACCATGCCCAGCTAATTTTCTCTGTTTTATAGAGACAGGGTCTCCCAATGTTGCCTACATTGGTCTCAAACTCCTGGACTCAGGCTATCCTCTGGCCTCAGCTGGGATTATAGGCATGAGCCATCATGCTCAGCCAATTAAGATGTTCTTAAAAAAAAAAAAAAAAAAGGCCAGACCTAGGCCCTGTAAACATGGTACCTAAGAGGTAGAGGGCAAATATATATATTTTTAAACTCCCTAGGCTACGCATTCAGTAGTCTGAACGTGAGAGAAGTGAGTGAGGGGATAAACTGTATAGTAGCAGCAGGATATGGATGAAGAATTTTGAGATATGTACTTAAAAGGTACCAGGACTTGGTGACTGACTAGATGTAGGATGGAAAAGGAGAAGAAAATAAATGACATTGGTTTCTTTCTTGGGAGACTTGGAGAGTACTGCTGCCATTAGAAGGATGGAAACAAGGATTTTGGTGATAATGGTATGGTGGTATTGTGTGTGCATGTTTAGGAAGGAGGCTGAAAAAGATAATTAGGGCTGACTGTCACAATAGCCAACTCTAATTAAAAACTTACTTGTCAGTGCTTTATATCTATTTTTGGGAGCTGGGCATCCCTCTGCAAGGACATTGTCATCAAAGATCATAACAATCTCACTTTGAAAATGAAAAAACTGAAGTTAAAAAGACCAAAATTGCCGGGTGCAGTGGCTCAGGCCTGTAATCCCAACACTCTGGAAGGCCAAGGCAGGTGGATCAGTTGAGGTCAGGAGTTCAGAACCAGCCTGGCTAATGTGGTGAAACCCCATCTCTACTAAAAATATACAAAAATTAGCAGGACATGGTGACTTGCGCCTATAGTCCCAACTACTCGGGAGGCTGAGGGCAGGAGAATTGCTGGAACCTGGGAGGCAGAAGCTGCTGCAAGCCAAGATTGCACCACTGCACCCCAGCCTGGGAGACAGAGTGACATTCTATCTCAAAAAACAAAAAGAAAGCCCCAAATTAATAGCTAGAACACAGAAAGGGCACAGAAAGGGCCTCAAGCCTGGCCCTAACTGACTCTAGCCAAAGTTTGAGGTCCCCATGGCATCCTAGTTAAGGATGTGGAAGTCAATAATGCAGGAGGGATAGGATTACCCAGAGAGAGAATATACAGATTAAGAAATAATTATTCATATATGTGGCTAATTCTTATAATGGTATAATGAAACCTTTTCCTCACCCAGAAAATGAAGATAATACTTAATCTGTAGATAATGATCACTGAAGGCAAGGACCTCATCACAGTTTTTGTATTCCCAGAGATACAATGCCTGGCACAAAATGACCCCCTAAAAAATGTTTGCCAAAGATTTAAAAACAAAACAAAAGTCAATATACTGGCCATAGTTGGGATAATGATAGAAGAAATATCTCCTAATCAACCTACAGAATAATTTTTTTTATTTCCTCCCTGTGTAGCATGCTACAAATGCACTGTTTATTTCTGCACCACAATAATGTCTGTTTTATGAACTGCTCTGCTGTAAGCAGTAGACATGAGATGGAATTCAGTGAGACAGGTGCTGTTATACACTGCTGGGGACAGATAAATATTTTCTGGAAGGCAATTTGATAAAATGTATCAAGAGCCCTAAAGCCCTAACTCAGTAAACTTACTTAGGAATTTATCCAAAGAAAACAATAAGAGATGTGGCCAAAAATTTAGGTTGGAAGTAATAAAAAATATCTAGTAATAGGAAAATAATTAAATATATCATCATAGAACCATACAGCTAAATATTATGTTGCTCTTAAATAAAGTTTTTGAAGAACACTTAAGGGTACCAGGAAATGCTTTCGATAAGTAAAATGAAAAAAAAGGTATAAACTATACCTATATTTATTTATCTATACAAAAAATGACCACAATTTTGTGTTTATATGTACATGTAGCTATATGCATCTTTTTTTTTTGAGACAGAGTCTTGCTCTGTCGCCAGGCTGGAGTGCAGTGGCACAATCTTGGCTCACTGCAACCTCCACCTCCTGGGTTCAAGCAATTCTTCCACCTCAGCCTCCCGAGTAGCTGGGACCACAGGTGCGTGTTACCACGCATGGCTAATTTTTGTATTTTCGGTAGAGACAGGGTTTCACCATGTTGGTCAGGATGGTCTCGATCTCTTGACCTCATGATCTGCCTGCCTTGGTCTCCCAAAGTGCTAGGATTACAGGCGTGAGTCACCGAGCCCGGCCTATACATCGATATTTATTACTACCTAGAAAAAAGTGGACAGGTGTCGTGGCTCACACCTGTAATCCCAGCACTTTCAGAGGCCGAAGCAGGTGGGTCACTTGAGGCCAGGAATTTGAGACCAGCCTGGCCAACAGGGAAAAACCCCCATCTCTACTACAAATACAAAAATTAGCTGGGCATGGTGGTACGCACCTGTATTCCCAGCTACTCAGGTGGCTGAGGCATGAGAATCTCCTGAACCTGGGAGGTTGCTGTGAGCCAAGATCATGCCACTGCACTGCACCCTGGGTGACAGAGCGAGACTCTGTCTCAAAAGAAAAAAGATCAGAATATCCCACAAAATGCGGATACAAGTCTCTCTAGATAGAAAGATTACAGAAGATTTTGGTTTGCCTCATTATGTTTTTCAGTATTTCTAAAATTTCTGCAAAAGGCACATTTTCATTTTTCATTTTTTTAATTAAAAAAAATCTTTTTAGAGATTGGGTCTCGCTCATGTTGCTCAGACTGGAATGCAGTGGCTATTCACAGGCATAATCATAGCTCACTGCAGCCTTTAACTTCTGGCTTCAAGCAATCCTCCCACTTTATCCTCCCAAGTCCCTGGGACTACAGGTGTGCACTGCTGCACCAGGCTTTTCAGATTTTCGTTGTAGAACTTGAAAAAGATATGATAAATAAAAGCAAAGTAGCATTCACCTTCTTTCTTTTTCTAGAAGAATTCCTTGTGGGGTTGGGCTTCTCAAACTCTGCTGACTTTGGCTCTTCCTTTTCCTCTTCCTCATCAGGTATCAGAGAATATTTAGTCCCACCTGGTTGCATGAAACAATCTTTTGCAAAGTGGCCTGCAGAAGAGAAGTAGAAAAGGTATAGAAGGAAGTAGTCTCTCATCTCAGCAAGTGAATCTTCCTCCAAGGCTCCTGGAATGGGCTAGTTGGCTCAGGAAATATTGTTAACGTCATTCAGCGTAGCTGTTTGATTCACAATAGATTTTCCACCACCTCAACATGGTACTGCTCACTCAACCACAGCCAGACTAGCAGCTGGTCTTAGGGCTGTGGGAAACATTGGTGCTGTTCTCAAAATGGCAGAGGATATGAGGATGCAGGTTTGTACCGCCCTCCATTAGTAATGGGGCTTATTAATTTTTTAAGATCTATTTTGGAACATATTCCTGACAATGAAAGACTGTTCCAGAGAGCAGGATGCTTAGCAGAGAGAGCTGAGTGGCAGGCCAAGCCCTAAAGGAAGATGCTCTTAGGTAGCTGGCAGCCAGTGGGCACTCACATCTAAGCTAACACACAGAGAAATAGGCATAGTCACCTAGGGGCACTGCACATTTACAGATTGTCAGGTCTGGCAAGCACCTTAGAGATCATCAAATCCACCCTACATTTGTAGAAGATAAAAGCCCAGAGTTGAGAAGTAGCTCAAGGTTCACACAGACAGCAACAGAGTTCAGACTTAACCCTGGGTCTCACACCTCCCTGCCCTGTGCTTTTTGCGGCACCCAAACCAACAACCTTTGGCCTGACCTTTGCTAACTGGGACAAATTCCACTTCTCATTATTCTTTTCTTTTCTTTTTTTTTTTTTTTGAGACGGAGTTTCGCTCTTATTACCCAGGCTGGAGTGCAATGGCTCGATCTCGGCTCACCGCAACCTCCGACTCCTGGGTTCAGGCAATTCTCCTGCCTCAGCCTCCTGAGTAGCTGGGATTACAGGCACACACCACCATGCCCAGCTAATTTTTTGTATTTTTAGTAGAGACAGGGTTTCACCTTGTTGACCAGGATGGTCTCGATCTCTTGACCTTGTGATCCACCCGCCTCGGCCTCCCAAAGTGCTGGGATTACAGGCTTGAGCCACCATGCCCAGCCTATTCTTCTCTTCTTTATGTAATGCCTGTTGGACACCAGTTAAGGTTAAAAGACCCCACCTTCCCTGAGCCTATAGTGGTATTGAGGGGCCCTGTAACAGATGCTATGCTCTATTCTCCTAGTTGTATCTGAGTTTGTGGTAGAGCCTGTCTCAGGTGCACAGAGAAATTGCATGAGAGAATCAAAAAGGTACACATAGGCTGGGCACAGTGGCTTATGCCTATAATCTCAGTACTTTTGGCAGGATGAGGCAGGAGGATCACTGGAGCCCAGGGAGACCAGCCTGGGCAACACAGGGAACCCCATCTCTACAAAAAATTTTGAAAAAGTAGCTGGACAGCCAGGCACGGTGGCTCAAGCCTGTAATCCCAGCACTTTGGGAGGCCGAGGCGGGTGGATCACGAGGTCAAGAGATCGAGACCATCCTGGTCAACATGGTGAAACCCCGTCTCTACTAAAAATACAAAAAATTAGCTGGGCATGGTGGCATGTGCCTGTAATTCCAACTACTCAGGAGGCTGAGGTGGGAGAATTGCCTGAACCCAGGAGGCGGAGGTTGCGGTGAGCCTAGATCGCGCCATTGCACTCCAGCCTGAGTAACAAGAGTGAAACTCTGTCTCAAAAAAAAAAAATTAGCTGGACATGGTGGCACACACCTGTGGTCCCAGCTATTCAGGAGGTGGAAGTAGGGTTGCTTGAGCCCAAGAGCTCAAAGATGCAGTGAGTCATGATCATACCATTACATTCCAGCCTGGGTGACCCTATTAAAAAAAAATAAAAAAGCAATGTGTAAAGTACTCTGTACCTCTGGATCCAGCAATTGGGTGGCACCTGACAGGGAAATATAGCATAGAGTATTCCAAATATTTGGAATGTTCCCACAGCTTTCCTGAGGAGGTATTCTTTCTCTCAATTTTATTTTTCCCCTTCTCCCCTCTACGCTAATGATCAATAGGGGCTTAAAACCCCACAACTTCAACCAGGGCACAAATCTGCTACCAGTTATTGTAGAAAAATCAACATAGTAGGGTACATGGATGACTAGGAAGAAGGGGTGACAAATTGAGGTCACCCGGAAAATAAGAAGCTGGCAGTCTCTCTCAATATAGCTCTAACAAGGGAAATCAGGCTGAAAGACCTTTTTAATATTTGAGTAAGAGTAGAGGAAACCTGAGGAAACAGAATTAAAAAGAAGTGACTATCCCGTATTCTTTATTCGATATCCTTTAAAAAGATATTGTATTCAAACTCTGAAATTAAAAAGATAAAGATGAGAGTCTGACTTGGCTCTTTATATATTTCCAAGTTGCTTAATTTTTGCAGAATCATCATCCTTGGAGATAAAATTAGAGTGTTAATCATAATCCAACACTCTTACCCCTCCTGGCATAGTTCATGGGAGTACTGCTCAGATAGGGCATAAACTGTGGGTGGGGTGGGAGGAGTGGTGATATAGTATCTGGTAGGGCCAGCACTCAGAAAAAAAAAAAAAAACAGAAAAAGCATCAAGCCATGAACTCGGACGTGAGTCTGGTGGGAATAACAGCATAAACAGGTAAGGCCATCACTTGGCTAAAAAACAGGTGAACTAAACTCACTGTACTGCCTCCTTCTTCCAGAACAGGGTCCGTCCACAAGGAGAGAAAGGGCAGAGGCTTCACCTTACCTTTACAGCCACACTTCTTGCAAGTAGTGTTCAAAACAGCCTCAAGGGTGATCTTCTGCCCAGTGTAATCCTGGAAGGACCGCCTCCGCCTCTCTTCTTGCCTATAATGAAAAAGATACTGACTTCTGGCCCCCTTAAGAGATATGGCCAGAGATACTACAAGGTAAGGTCATATATTGGTTTTTTGTTTTGTTTTTGGCAGGGAAAGGGGAGAAAGAAGGAAAGTTTTTAGTAGAACAAGATAGGCAGTAAAAGTAATGATGTGAAACAGCCCTAAATTAACAATTACAAATGAGACTAACCCTCATCTCACTAATGCACAGAGAATGGAAATATATAATTACTCACTATGCTAAACACCCTAAACACTTACCAGGTCACTCATAGGTTTAAAAGACCTTCAAAGCTTTTCTAGAAAATCAACTCCAACCTTGGCATTCAAGGCCTTTCAGTCTGTCTCTAAACTACTTTTCCAGCCTCATCTTTACAACACAATATGCTCTGGCCAAAGAAGTCTATTTTCTCTTCGCCACATGGTTCAGTGCTTTTGCTCAGGCAGTTCTCTCTCTCTCTGAAATGCTGTTCCCCTCTTGACTCCCACCTTACCACTTCACTACACCTAGACATTTCAAAACTCAGTTCAGTTATCAGCTCTCCTTCTAACAAGTCTTTTCCCCCAAGCCCCTCTGACAGAATTAATCTCTTTGTTGCCTTTCTCATAGCCTTTCAAAAAAACGTTAAACTTCTTACCAAATATAATACATATGTTGATATGGTTCGGCTCTGTGTTCCCCCCCACACAAAAATTTCATGTTGAATTGTAATTCCCACTGTTGTGGGAGGGATCTGGTGGGAGGTGATTGGATCATGGGGGTCAGATTTCCCTCATGTGATAGTGAGGGAGTTCTCACCAGATCTGATGGTTAAAAAATATGAGGCACTTCCCCCTTTGCTCTCTCTCTTTCTCCTGCTGCCATTTGAAGACATGCTTGCCTCCCCTTCACCCTTCTGCCATCATTTTAAGTTTCCTGAGGCCTCCCCAGCCATGCCTCCTGTACAGCCTGTGGAAGTATGAATCAATTAAACTTCTTTTCTTTATAAATTACCCAGTCTCAGGTAGTTATTTATAGCAATGTGAGAATAAACTAATATAAATATAGAGAAAAATGTTTATCATAAGTATACAGCTCACTTGATTTTTTCAAAAATTGAGTATCAAAAAACAGAACATTGCCAGCATCTAAGAAGCCCGTCTCATGCTCCCTTTTAGTCACCTGCTTCTGCCAAGGGTAATCACTATTCTAATTTCTAACAGTACAGATTCTTTTTACTAAAAAAAAAAAAAAAAAATTAGCCAGGCATGGTGGCTTGTGCCTGCAGTTCCAGCAACTTGAGAGGCTGAGGCAGGAGGATTGCCTGGGAGATCAAGGTTGCATGCAGTGAGCTATGATTGCACCACTATACTCTAGTCTGGGCGACAGAGCAAGACCCTGTCTCCAAAAACAAAAACCCAAAACAACAACAAAAAACCCATAATGAAGCTTGAATAACGAAAACCTCAAGGCAGAACTTGAGGTTTTGAAACCCATAATGAAGCTTGAATAACAAAAACCTCAAGGCAGAAACTTGGACATAACTCAAGCAACTCATAAACATGGCTTTTGCTCTCAGGTATCTTTATTTGTAGAGCTAAGTTTCAAGTGGCTGTGAGCTGCAGCTTAAGCAACCCCCATGACAATTCCAATACTCTGTGGCTTCTAACAGACTACAAACCATATTATACTTCCCACTTAACACTCAATTCAACAAATGTGTCACTCACCCACACATCCTCATTGCTATCATTCTAGTTTAGGCTCCCATCATGTTTCATCTAGAGTAGTAATTCCCTCACTGGTCTCCCTGCCTCCAATTTTCTGCCTCCAGTCCATCCCAGCACACATTCTGAGATTAATCTCTTTTTTTCAGTACAGCTAGTAAGTGGCTAGCGCCAGTGCTAATACTAGTGATAGTAGTATGTATACCAAAATGAACAAAACATGATTCTTTCTGGAATGAACCTATAGTCTAGAAGTGGAGGGAGACATACAAATGAATAATTTTAACACAGTTAAGTCATATGTGCTTTTTCTAAAGACTACCCTATGGGTCGGGAGTTGTAGCTCACACCTATAATCTTTCAGCACTTTGGAAGGCCAAGGTGGGAGTATCACTTGTGACCAGGAGTTCAGGATCAGCCTGGGCAACACAGCAAGACATCATCTCTACAAAAAATTTAAAAATTAGTGGGGCATGGTGGCATGGGCCTGTAGTCTCAGCTACTTGGGAGGCTGAGGGAGACAGATCGCTTGAGTCCAGGAGTTTAAGGTTGCAGTGAGCTATGATCATTACACTCCATCCTGGGAGCGAAAGACCCTACTCTTAAAAAAAAAAATCTATAATCTGACCAGAAGTCTATGTGTTCAAAGGCCTTTTTATTTTTATTTTTTAAATTCATTCGCGGGGTGTGGTGGCTCATGCCTAGCACTTTGGGAGGCTAAGGCAGGAGGATCACTTGAGGCCAGAAATTCAAGACCAGCCTGGCCAACATGATAAAACCCCACCTCTACTAAAAATACAAAAAATTAGCTAGGAGTGGTAGTGAGCGTTTGCAATCCCAGCTACACAGGAGGCTGAGGCAGGAGAATTGCTTGAACCTGGGAGGCGGAGCTTGCAGTGGGCTGAGATTTTGTCACTGCACTCTAGCCTGGGTGACAGAGCGAGAGTCCATCTCAAAAATAAAAACAAATACAAAAATTCTTTTTCTTTTTTTTTTTTTTGAGACAGAGTTTTGCTCTTGTTGCCCAGGCTGGAGTGCAATGGTGCAATCTCAGATCACCGCAACCTCTGCCTCCCCGGTTCAAGCGATTCTTCTCAGCCTCCCAAGTAACTGGGATTACAAGCATGTGTCACCATGCCTGGCTAATTTGTATTTTTACTAGAGACGGGGTTTCTTCATGTTGGTCAGGCTGGTCTCGAACTCCCGACCTCAGGTGATCCACCTGCCTCAGCCTCCCAAAGTGCTGGGATTACAGGCGTGAGCCACTGCACCATATTTAACTGATATTCATGGCTCTCCACAATCTGACCCTAATTTACCTTTCAAGCTTTCCATTCTATTCTAGTGCTTGACCATATCATTTTCTTTCCTTAAACAAGATTCCCAAATGCGCCGTGAGCTTTCCTGCCTCATTCCTTTCCTCAAACCATTTCTTTTGCCTCAAATACCATTCCGTCTCCAGCTGTCTGATAAAATCTTATCTGTTTTTGAAAACCTACCTCATATGCCACCTATTCTCTGACCATCAAGGCCTGAAGTAAACCATTTCCCTTAAAGTGAATTCCTAGAAACTTTCATTTAAACAGGGAGTCCCTAACCCCCAGGCCACAGACTGCTCCTGGTCCATGGCCTGTTAGGAACCAGACCACAAAGCAGGAGGTAAGCAGCAGATGAAGGAGCATTATCACCTGAGCTCCACCTCCTATCAGATCAGCGGCAGTATTAGATTACCATAGGAGTGCAAGCCCTATTGTGAACTGCACATGTGAGGGATCTAGGTTGTGCACTTCCTATAAGAATTTAAGGTGTGATGATCTGAGGTGGAACCAATCAAGCCCCCAATCCATAGAAAAAAAAACTGTCTTCCACAAAACTAGTCCCTGTTGCCAAAAGGGTTGGGGACTGCTGCTTTAAACTACTCTTAGTATTTATTACATATTGCCTTATATTTGTTGAATACACGAGTAAATGAAAGTACTAGCTAGGGCCAGGCACAATGTTTTATGCCTGCAATCCCAGCACTTTGGGAGGCCAAGGCGGAAGATCATTTGAGGTCAGGAGTTCAACACTAGCCTGGTCAACATGGTGAAACCCTGTCTCCACTAAAAATATAAAAATTAGGCCAGGCATGGTGGCCCACGCCTGTAATCCCAGCACTTTGTGAGGCCAAAGGGGACAAATCATGAGGTCTGGAGATCAAGACCATCCTGGCTAACATGGTGAAACTCCGTCTCTACTAAAAATACAAAAAATTAGTCAGGTGTGGTGGCGGGTGCCGGTAGTCCCAGCTACTCAGGAGGCTGAGGCAGGAGAATTGCTTCAACCTGGGAGGCAGAGGTTGTAGTGAAGTCAAGATTGTACCACTACGCTCCAGCCTGGGTGACAGAGTGAGACTCCATCTCAAAAAAAAAAAAAAAAGCTTAAATGTCCATTTTCACACTACTAAGACATACCTCAAAACAAAACACTAAATGAATGCTACGAATGGTATATGTCAGGCACAATGGCAGACAAGTCATGGTCTCTGTTTTTCGGGTCTTACACATTCTTTTAAAAGCAACGGTGTGGTTCTGCACAACACAGTATGAAGGAAAAAGAAAAGGGTGCTATAATCTCAGATATTACAGGAAAAAACAAAGTGGCATTTAAAACAATACTACAAGTAGCTACATACATTAAATGTCTACCATAGACTAGACATGAAGCTGGATCCTTACAAATCATTCAAGCATTCCTCAGATATATGTTACTATCTCCCTTTTATAGTAAAGAAGCTGAGATTCAGAGAGACTAAGTAATATATGGCTTTCAGCAGAAAGTCATATATTTACAACATAGTTTACTATAAAAGTTACTGTTTCAGCTACTTGATTATTCCTAGAAATGGTTTTACACAGGGACAGCCCAAAACCAGGGAGCCCTTTCCCTTCCCTACCCTTTCTCTGAGAAACACGGTTAGCTCTCTTATCTTACATGTTTTACATTTTATCATTGTAAGGTGGCTTTGGGAAATTTTACTACTTTTTAATGAGTCTGTATAGCTGTGTCAGCTTCTTTGCAGCAGAAGCAATTTATTACAATGCAATCATCAAATTTTTCTTTTTTATTTTCCAAACACTAACTTGAACCACAGCTACATATAAACATTTCTGCACTGAGTTATAAAAGATTTCTACTATTACTGAACAGTATTTTGTCAATAATCAGCCTTACAAACATGTTAATATTTAGAGACTAAACTACAGAAATATGAAAAGTTATGTAAGTCACATGCAACAGTGAGAAGCATTATATAGTAAAAAAGCTTTAAGGTCAGAGAGGCTCAATTTTGAGTCCCTGTGAAT